CTTCTCTCCTTCTCACCAGTGGTACGTTTGTCTTACCTGCATTCCTAGCGTTGGATGTATCGCAGGAGCACAAAAAGTATTTGCTGGCTGGCTGGCTGGATGGATGGCTGAAAATGCATGCTGTAGACTGCCTGGGTCTAGATCCCATTGCCACCGTTTACTCACTCTGTGGTATGCTAGGAAGTTACTCAATTTCTTTACGCCTTTTTCTTTCCCTTTCACAGTACTATTGTGGGTAAGATTAGGTAATTCATGATAAACATTAAAAGCAGTTTGTGACATAGAGTAAGCTTATAAACAAAGATAGGCACATAATCCTAGTACTCTAGGAGGCTGAGGCAGGTACATCACAAGTTAAAGATCAACTGGACAACCTAACAACTTAGTGAGACTGTCTAGGAATATCTAAAAACTCTGGGATCAGTCACCAGTGGTATAAAAATAAACAAGGGTGGGTGGGTAGGAGATAATATTCTAGAAGGATTAACCTGTGCTGGGCCTTTGTAAATATGGGGCATGTTTTGATTTTAGGAATTTGTGTGTGGGGGTACCAAATTCAGGTCCTTATGCTTACAAGGCAGGTGCAGCACTACTGAGCTAAATCCCCATCCCATTAGGACTTTTTATAAACATAAGCAGCCATTGGAAAATATATTGTTGTTTTAGTATGCTTTCCATAGTTGTCCTAGTTTTAACCACGAAATAAACAGAACAGTACTATCTGAATCTCTATCCCTGTTGGAAAAATCTAACCCTAACTCACTTTTGTGATGACAGAAGACCCTTGTTGGGAGCTTGTAAGCAGCCTGATTGGGAAAAGGGCTCAAGTCAAGGGATAGTGTTGATATTTGGGCTACTAATTGCTAATCAAAATGCAGTGTAAGGTTTTGGTCCAAGGATCATGGAAAACCTTTTTATCAGTTTTACTGCCCCTAAAGCACAACAGGAACCTTTATAGGAACCTGTGGCCTTGTACCTCACTATCAGAGTCTATGAATATTGTTGTAATTGGTAGTTTGACCAGCTTATAAACTTGTTGTGGAAGAAATCCTTAAGATAAAATAGTGACAGTTTGTTCTACCTGAGGGTTTTCAGGTAAACTAGCAGCCTTTCTCTTTGCCAAAAGAATCCCATATAATACATAATTTTGTTTTGTTTTGGTACTGGGGATTGTACTTGTGCTTGCAAGGTAGGCCACTGAGATAAGTCGCCGGCCCAATTTTGTTTTGTTTTTTAGAGGGGAATACTTTCCCCTCCCCAACTATTTTGAAATTTTAAACATACAGAGAAGGTAAAAAAATAGAAAATGAACTTTTTATTACTCATTCCATGTTTTTCTTTCTGAATCATTTAAAAGTAGCAGATAAAACAATTTACTCCTAATGCTTCTATTTGTATCTTGTAAAATAGGTATATTCTCTCTTTTCAGCCTTCTACTGAGCTACAACCTTTTTTTTTTGTATCAGGGATCGAACTTAGGTCCTTGCGCTTGTGAAGCCAGCAGCAGTGGAACCACTGAGCTAAAGCCCTGGCTCTGCAGCTGTTTTGAATTTGGGTCTCACTTACTTTCCCAGGCTAGCCTCAAGCTTGCCATCTTCCTGCCTCAGCCTCCTTAGTAGCTGGGATTGCAAGTGTGTGCCACTGCACCCAGCACGGATGTTCTCTTGTAGCGTTATCCTGCCTAATAAATGTAATACTGATTCAATATTAAGCAGTGTATATACCTATTTTCACATTTCCCTCTTTATCTCAGAAATATAAATGTGTACATGTAAATCTATACATGTGTATGTGTGTGTCTGTGTCTGTGTTTTAATCCAAGATCCAGTATTTAAATATTGCAGTTGGCTATGGCTTTCAGAGCTTTCATTACATTGGTATTATTGAAGAGTACTGGCCACATTCTGATTTTTTTCCAAAAGGTTAGGTTTAGGTTAAACATTTTTAGTAAAAAGGCTAAAAAGGTGCCATTGTGTACTTCCCATTGCATCACATCATTAGACATAAAAATAGCAGTTTTTCCAGTTACTGGTACTGTTGATGTTTAATAAATCTGGTTAATGTGATGTTTTCCAGCTCTCTTTTATATTGTATCCTTTACTGATAATACTACTTGGGGGTAGACTTTGGATTGTGTGAATTTCCTGTTTCCCATCCACTTTTCACTCCATTACTCTCATATCTATTAATGGTCCTGGCCTGATTTACTTAATCTGAAAGTGTAGCATGGGGATTTTCCAGTTGTTCCGTCTGCATTTATTAGCTGGTTATATTTATTTGTTTTAAATAAGAGCCTTCTATTTTTCCCTTTCAGTATCACTACAAACTCATAGATGCTTTCTGCACTCAATTTCTTCTGTATTCTTGCTGTATTCTTTTTTTGCCTTTATTCTGATTTTTATCCAGTGGTAGCCTGTGTCCTTTTGAAACTGCATCAGAGGTCTTTGAATCCTTCCATCCTTCTGGATACAAGATATTCCAGACTTAGCTTTTACATTCCTTACTCTTAACCTGGAATCTGCCATTTTCTTTAGGACTTCAGATTTCAGGAACAGTATTTAGAAACCAAAATCTAGGTTCATAGTATGCTTAGAAAATAAACCTTTAAAATACATTGCCATTTGGAAGTTGAGGCAGTAGGGTTGCAAGTTTGAGACCAGCCTGGGCAATTTGGGGAGAGCCTGTCTCAGAAAATAAGAAAAGAATTGGAGATGTAGCACAGTGGTACAGCACCCTGGGCTGGATCTCTATTACTGAAAAATTGCCTGTCGTTTTGACACTGTATATTACCATTTAAGAGTCCGTTCACCTGTCTTTCAGATGATCCTTCCTGCAGTTTTATATTGGATTTTTTTGTTTGCTTGTTTTTGTTTTTGAGCCAGGGTCTTACTGTATAGTCCAGGCTGGCCTTGAACTCACAGTTCCTGCAGTTCTATGTGGTAAGCAACTCAGATGGCTGAGCTCTTCATTTTAAAAATTAGGAAAGTGAGGGCTGGGGATTTAATTTAGCTCAGTGGTTTTGCCTGCCTCACAAAGTGCAGGGTCCTGAGTTCAGTTTCTGGTACAAAAAAAAAAAAAATCGGAAAGTGAGATTTGGAGAAGACCTAGCTTTGCAGAGTTACAAGGCTAATAACAGGTGCCAGGATGAATACCTAGTTCTTTTACCTGCTAGTTTAGTTTTTCTTTTCTTCTCTTTCTGTTTTCCTGGTATTGTACATCATGTCCTAAAAAGCGTATTTGGACGCAGAGCCACTCACCTGAAGTCCCTGCTACCTGGAAGGCTAAAGCAAGAGGGTGGCAAATCAAAGACGAATGTGAACAACTTAGTGAAGACCCTGTCTCATATTTAAAAACAGCAACAAAAACAAACACCTTTAAAAGGGAAGGGGATGTAGCTCAGTAGTGAAGCACCCGAGTTCAGTTTATACGTAAGAGAACAAGAATTTTGTTATCACCCAAGAACCATTTTTTACCCCTCCGAGGTGATATTGCTCTTACTGGAAAGGCATGGAACTGGGCATGGTGGTGCACACCTATAATCCCAGTCATTTGAGAGACTGCGACAGGAGGATCACAAATTCAAGCTCAGCCTGAGTTGGGAAATTTAACAACTTAATAAGACTCTGCCCCAAAATTTAAAAGAATAGAAAGAGAGCCAGGGATTTATCTCAGTGGTGCCACCACGTGCCTCGCAAGGGCAAGGTCCTGAGATTGATCCCTGGTACCAAAACAAACAAGCAAACAAATAAATAAAAAGATCTGGGGTTATAACCCAGTGCTAAAGCCCTCAGTTCAATCCCTAATAGTGAGGGAGGGAGTGAAGTAAAGAAAAATAAAATGCATAGTTAGTAGTTAGTAGTTAGAAAAATGAAGGGTAAATATGATTCATATTATAGTAACACATTGTATAGAAGGAAAAAATGGAAACAAAGCTTATGTATATAAGGAGGGGAAGAAGGGTTGGAGGAGGGGCAATGAGAGAAAAAAGATGTATCATGTACAAATACAAGTTTCCTATGGTGAATATCATAATGTATATTTAAAATATATCAAGAAATATTTTGGTTAAAAAAAAGTGCCAGGCGTCGTGGTGCAAACCTGTAGTCCCAGCACTGGGAGTCTGAGGTAGGAGGATTGGCACGAATTCTAAGCCAGCATGGGGCTACATAGTGAGCTCAAGAGTAGCCTGAACTACAGAGCAAGACCCTGTCTCAAAAAGAAAAGAATTGGAGTCTTCACTGTAAGCGGACAGGGTGCTGTTCGGTATTGCTGGTACTACCTTATTTGAGCCATGGTACTCTTTGATGCCCAGTATTTACTGTTGAGTTCAGTTGAAAAAATATAACTGATTATAATTTTAACATAATAATAGTACATTTTATAATACTGTAGTATATTTTTTAAGTCTTCTGGAATAACAATATAATATAAATTCTCTCAGTCAAATAGTATTGTGGAGGCTATGGATTACTCAAAGGCTGCACTCACCCTCCACTACAGAGGTAGTGATATTTCACTGACAGGGCCCTTCAGAGTCTACGATCCTAATTCCTTTCCCTTCAAAACAGATAATTGGGATATGGGGCAGTACTGGTGAATTGAATCTTTTCCAATATTGTCTTTGTCTGGAATTGCTTCATGTATAAGATATTACTTAGATTCTTTTAATGTTTAAGGGATACCTGCATGTTTCTCCTCATAAGTCGCTCCCTTTTCCTGCCATAACTCCAAATAAAGAACTCCTAGTTCCTTGAGGGAGTTTGATACAGAGAAATTGCCAGTAAAAAACTTTTTTTGTATTTCTCCATTACAGACTGTCTTGTATGCTTTGTCTTCTCCCTCCTAAGCGCTTCTCTGTGTCTTTTTATGTTTCCTGTCTCTCCCCTCTTTTCTTGTTTTGTCCTTATGCTGTCTCTACTTCCCCCATTCCTTTCATTTCTCCTGTGCTTCAGTCTTATTTCCTCCCTCTCCTACATGTTATCTCCTTTCTTTCCACTCAGGACTATGAGAGTAAATTGCAGGCCTTGCAGAAGCAGGTTGAGATCCGATCCCTGGCTGCAGAAACAACTGAAGAGGAGGAAGAGGAGGAAGAAGGTGAAATCCAGAGACCAAAACTTGTATCTTTTGGATCTGTATTATCAAATTCATCCTTTATCTGTTGTCAAAGCTGGGTTCCTCACATTTACCCTGCCGTCTATTGACCTTGCAGTGAGCCAGTTTAAAGATGAGCTAAAGATGCTCAATGCTGAGAACCCAGGTGTGCTCAGGGGCTGGGGGCAGGGCTGATAAGTGTTCACAGACATCACAGGTGTCTGTGCTCAGTCTTCACAGAAATCTCAGGCAGTTTACAGTTACTGTGTCATAGTACCGTATACGTGAAGTTCGTGTCTGTTTCAAATAAACAGAGGGCGGGGGATTTAGCTCACTGCTATCGCAGTCTGCCTCACAAGTGCAAGGTCCCAAGTTTGATCCCCAGTACCCCCGCCAAATCTTCCTATTCAAATAGGGAGCGTAATCATTGTTAAGGTAGTCTGCTCAATTCGTAGTTCATAGCGGAATTCCCCATTGAAGACTTTGGAATACATCCTTGTATTTGAAAGCCATTCCTGGCTGACCTCTGGGTGCAGTGCTCGTCATGCTTCCCCATTTTCAGTTTCCCCCGTTCTCTGCTGAGTGAAGGCTGTCATTGTTATTGTCTTGCACTATGAGCAGTCATCACACTTCACTCACTACCCAGCCTCTCAGTAGTCTCCAGGCTGCAAATTAGCTTTGAAGGAACTCTTAATATACTAAATCATTAATTTTTAAATAGTTCAGTAAAATGTGACCTTGTATTCCTGTATTAGAAAGAAGAAAGGAAAAAAAAAAAGAAGAAAGAAATATGAGGCCTTATCTTAAAATGAAAAAGAAAAAAACCTCAGTGGGCTGGGGATTTAGCTCAGCGGTTCGGTGGCCTGCCTTGCAAGTGCAAGGACCCGAGTTCAATCCCTGGTACCAAAAACAAAAAATGAAAAAAGAAAAAACCTGGGGGTATAGCTCAGTTCAAAGGCCCTGGGTTCATCCCCCAGTCACACATGTGTGCACACACACACGCACACGCACACACAGAAGAGCAAATATATTCTTGATGTACTGTTTTAAATAGGGGAAACAAAGTGCTAGGTGAGATAGAGAAAGGGGGGATGCAGTTTCCTTATACTTATGCGATCGCTGTTGAATATGCTTTGCTCTTTCAGTCCCTTGGACACAGCATGAATTTGATTTGGCCCAATGGGCCTTCCGGAAATGGAAATCTCACCAGTTTACTTCATTGCGGGACTTACTCTGGGGCAATGCCGTGTACCTGAAGGAAGCCAATGCCATCAGTGTGGAGCTGAAGAAGAAGGTATGGAGGGTGGTAGAACACTGGCCATCTGGAGGCAAAGCTGAGCGGGGTGGGTGCACCTGAACCCTTACTTGAAATCACCTTTCCCTGGGGAGCTCAGCTGTACACTGGGCCGCACCCAGGCCTTAGTAAATACTTTCAGAAGTAGTTGTAATCCTCTCAGTTTAAAATGGAAAACCTTATGCATTCCATCCTCTCTCATTAGTGAAGGACCAGAAACGCATTCTTGGGCCCACCTTTCAGTCTCCTGTGTGAGTTCCACAGAAATCCTCAGTCAACCAAAATGTATTTCCTGGGATTTTAGTTTGTGCATAATTACTTTGCAAGGCTAAAGAAACAAAGTCTACAAGTATGTTACTTTGAAATTGGGATTATTCCTAATTTGGATTATTTGAAATTAAGATTATTCCTCGTGTTAAATAAATAGGTGGCCTTTCTTCCCAGTTGGTCACAGCTTGGTTGAGCACATACTACATGTCTGATTCCTTTCCCATTGGGCACAATGCTTTTGCCTTGTCTGTAAAAGCTACCTGTTGTGATGGTGTGGTTTTCACATCTGTCAATGGCTTGCTTTCCACTTCAGGTCCAGTTCCAGTTTGTTCTGCTGACTGACACACTGTACTCCCCTTTGCCACCTGAACTCCTTCCCACCGAGGTGGAAAAGACTCATGAGGACAGGCCTTTCCCTCGTACAGTGGTGGCAGTAGAAGTCCAGGATCTGAAGAATGGAGCGACACATTATTGGTCTTTGGAGAAACTTAAGTATGAAGACCTTCATCCACAATGTTTTATTTAGGAAGTGATAATGAGTTGCTCACATGGACTCCCTCATATTTTCCTCTCCCTAAGTATGTGGTTGCTCTCTCTTCTGTGCTGAAGGCTGGTGCCAGCCGGTGGTACCACCATCCATCCACTTTCTTCTAAGTAATGATCCTCACTCTTCCAACACCTTTGATATGTGTAGGTACTTAAGCTTGATCTCAATTCCATGATATTTAATTCTAGTAATTTTTCTGTCCTGGACTTCATGATGACCGCTAGTAAACAGGGAAGTTATCACCAGGCTTCCTTTACAACTGGGATGATGAGATGATTCCCAATGTCTGAGTATATTGGAGATGTCACAGGCCATTGAATTACACTTCCCCTGGGTTGGTTGCCTTGTTAGAAGTTAGGTGGCCATTCTTGACTGTTGGTGGCTTCTCTAGACTCAACACCTAAGGTACTATGGAAACAAAGCTTCTGTACATAGCGGTAGGGGGGGCTTGGGGAATGGAATAAAATAAAATTTACTTTAAAAATTAACATGAAATAGTGGGAGCAGTTTTTTCCTAAAAGATAAGAAAGTCTTGCTGAGCATGGTGGTGCACACCATTAGTTCCAGCACTTGGGAGGCTGAAGCAGGAGGATCACCACAAGTTTAATGAGGCCAGCCTGGGCCACATAGTGAGTTCAAGGTCAGTCTGAACTACATAGTGAGGTGTTATCTCAAAAAACCTGATCCAATAAAAAAAATTTAAATGTCTTGCATGGAAGATGTTTCCAAAGAAAACTTTTAATGCCATCTCATGATATTAATCCTGTGCTCCATGTTTGCTATTTAGGCAGAGGCTGGATTTGATGCGAGAGATGTATGACAGGGCAGGTGAGATGGCCTCCAATGCCCAAGACGAAAGTGAAGCCACCATGACCGGCAGTGATCCATTCTATGATCGGTTCCACTGGTTCAAACTTGTGGGAAGGTATGTGATGATTTATCTTTTAAGAAATGAATGCTTTTAAAAATTGTTTAAAAGTTCAGCTGACATTATAGAATGTTAAAAGAAAAAAAAAAGGAGTATAAAATCTTAGCCACTTGTAACCTCTGTTTTATTTGGTATATTTCTCTTCAGTGTTTTCAGTATACACATTATTTTGATTCTCAGACTTTCATCCAAAGTTTTTGACAATCTTTCTTGACTCTCAGCATATTCATAAAATGTTTTGCAATTAAGTGGGTTGAGAAGGAAAAGAAAACTTGTGTTTGTATCCTACAGTTTAAAATCATACTGTCTTACCAAACTGCAAACTCTCCATAATCTGATTAGTTCTCACTTTTAAGAATTTTTTTTAGAAAAGCACTTATTGGTACTTTTTTTTTTTTTTTTTTTTTT